GGGGTCCATTAGTACAAGCAGTGCAGCAGCAAGGAGGAACAGGAGAAAGCAAGAACCTCTTACAAGTCAGAGAAAGCCAGGGGCTTCAATTTATCAGATGTACACCAAGCAGATGTTTATGCCAAAGGTTAACTCTGAGCAAGATAAAGATAGGACTCCTAGGACCTACCACTTTTCTAGTACCTTGGGGTAAAAGGTTGGCTTATCATCTGCGTGTTGCTTCTTAACAATGTGGGTCTCTTTCAGATTGAGCGGTCTGAGACTATTATATTTAGTCCTCCAGGAGTCAAACACAAATTTTCAAGGTTCATGCATAAACACACTGGTATGAGTGGGTGGGATAGCTATGCATGGTGATGTGGAAAGGGAGAGTTTGATGTGATTATATTAGAAAAAGAGTAGTTCATTAATACAGAGATTCTGGAAGGATAATTGACAGAAGAAAGGAGAAACAGAAGATGCAGGGGTGGAGGTAAAGAACAATGTGGGAAAAGGAAAGATTAGAGAGTTAAAAGGAAGGAATAAACAATGGAAAGAAATTGAAAATTATGTTAAAAAACACCATTATCTATATTGAAGAGGGTGGGGGGAAGGAAGTAATGATGAGATGGAATGAAGCCAAGAAGGGAAAGAAGGCATAACAAAGAGAGAAATGCATGAAGCCAGGGTGTATATGCAGTTTTTAATATATTTAATTAATTTCACTTGCTTTTGTTAATTTAGTGACCAGGTTTTGTGTGGTATAATTTATCAACATTGGGGGAAAGTGAGGGACAAAAAAAGAGCGTGACAGAAGATCAAGAATATCTTCAACCTTTTCTGATATTTGACCAGTCCAAAAAAAGAAGTTGTGGTTGAGTTTTGTTTAACGAGTGCTCATCTACAGAGTCACATTTTCTTAATTTTAAAAAATTGGTTTAATTTTAAACTGATTTAATTAACTGGTGCAAAAGAGCTGGTGGACACTTACTTGGTTTAAATCAGTTATTTAGCTTCAAAACAGATTTAAGCTCACGCAAAAGAACTGGTAATCCACTCTAACCAAAATCAGTACATATGCAAAGGGGTCTATACCTGTTTAACAAACCTGGGCATACTTGTGTGCAAAAATACTTAGTCATAAATGTTAAGCAATGAATTTCCACTTAAATGATAAGTAAAAAGGTTTCACTTAAATACTAAGCATGGCCATTTTCTCCCTTTCAGTTGCAGCAGGCAATAGTTTTGATAGAAATGATAGCTCAGGTCACTCACTAATAGTTTTAGGCCTCAGCATAAGAGAAGTCAGGTACCTTTTTCAGAACCTTTGGACAGACTATAAAACTACATTAGACAAGGTGCACTCTAGGTGAGAGCATCGAGGCTAGAGATGCCAAATTGAGAATATTTTTCCTCTCTTTGCTGTGTATCGAACAACTTACATTCAAGAGAAATAAAAACTGGCTCTTCAGATTCACAAAGCCTTTATTACTTTTTTCTTAAATGAAAGAACAATAAATTCAGGCTCTTGCAAACTCCTTAAACAGGGCTAATGTCTGGATATTGTACTGCAACATCTCTTAATGCTAACGCATGGAGTCATGAGAGACAGCTGAACAGTTCTGAACACCCGTGATCTGGAGAGATGAACTCAAAAGTGGGAGAGGTACAGAGAAGAGCAGCAGGGATGAGTAGGAGAATGGAGACCCTCTCCTGAAAGAAGAGAAAAGAAAGATTAACTTTTTGGGGGCAGAAAATGAAAACTGAAAAGATAAATCTTTTATCTCTGTAACTATGTAAGAGTAGATAAAATGCAAAGAGGAAAGTACTGTTAAAGCTAAGCCAAGGCTGAATGAGAACAAACTGGCCATGAATAACGAAATTAGAAGAACATTTCTAACCAAAAGAGTTACAGTCTGGAACAGCTTCCAATAGCATTACTGAAAAAGAAATCTAACTGGTTTTAAAATGGAGCTTGATAATTTTGGGAGAGAGATTACATGCCTGGTTTTCAGCAGTGGCAGGATACCAGACACAATGAGCCTGGAGAGAAAGACCTTCCCTCCTACGTTCCCAAAAGATTCACCAATAATGTGCAAGGGGTGAAGCAAGGGATGAAAACCTGAGTCTCACTAAGAATATGGAACTTTTTTTTTCTGAAGCAGGAGCAAACTCAAATGTAACAGAAATGGGGAAACCTTAGAATTTCTTCAGATGCTGATTAAGAACAGTGCCATAAACTGTAAGATTGCTCACATTGCCTTTTTCATAACTCTGAATGACTCTTTTATGGCATTAGTGTTTCCATAAAATTTGCATATAACTGTGAAAAACTTCCCGTTATTTTAACTGATCAAATGTTATTTGAGATTTAACAGTTGTTCTTTTGTTTCCATTAAACATTCCTATATAACCAGGACTGCTTCCTTTCTTCATCATGCACCAATTTTTTGCTTTATTAAATAGGGCTGGCCGTACAAGAATTCCATGTCTACACAAAGTTTGCCCTTTTTCCAAAACCAAAGAACAAGAGGTGCTTTGGAGCATGGACTTGAACTTAGCTCTGCCACACCCCCAGCAAGTGTCTAACTACCAATACAGCAAGTCTCTCCCTCTCTCACTTCCACCCTCTCTCTTCCTGTTGGAGCTGTTCCCCTTTTTATAAATAAAACATTAATTGGGTCAGAGATAGACTGACTCGACAAACATAAATATTGCCTACTGCACATGTGTGGTGGATACAGATGATGATCTGAGAACCAGGTTTTCCGTTTCCTGCAGAAAAATGAGGATTTTCCCCTTTAAAGGAAAAAAAAACCTGGGAAGCCATGGGTTTCCTCTTGCAGGCTAATAGAGTTTCAGCCTGCAAAGAGCTGCTTGAGGCTGGGGGGAGTGAGAGGAGGACTATCAGATGCAGGGGTCCACATGCATGTGCCCAGCAGTGCAGCCAGGCAGCATGATGGGGAGCAACTCTCACAGTTGCCTGCAGGAGCTGCCTCTGTGGCCCAATGGGTGGGACCTGGTACAGGAAGAAGTGCCATGCTGCCCTGCCCACCCAGCAGCAGTGGGAGGGCACAACCCTCCACTGCCAACATGGCACCTCACCTTGATAGCCATAGCAGCACAGCTGGCATGGGGTTCCTGGCAGCAGTGCAGAGTTGTGCACCTGTGCTGCAATGGGCAGGCAGGGGGTGTCTCACCTTGGCGGTCATGGAGGTGCAGTGCTCTTTCCCATGCTGGGTCCTGCCCAGTGCCAGTCTGGCCAGGCTGCAGCCCCATGCCCTGCTGTGGGCATAGAAATCTGGGAGGACATATGCTCCCTCATGCCCTCCTGATGCATTGCCTATGACATTGCCTATGCTCACACACCCCCTGCCCCACATGCACACTCCCTTTTCCACACACTGCAGGGTTTGGGCCTAAGGGCAACAGGTTAGCAGTGAGGGGGCACCAGCAGCAGGGCAAGGGGTGGTCTGTGGGTTGGGAGTGAGGGGACACCAGCAAGGTCAGGGGGCTGCAGGTCAGGAGTGAGGGGCACCAGCAGGGCTGGAGGGGTGGGGGACAGTGGGTTGGGAGTGAGGGGCAATGGCATGGGCAGGGCACAGCACCGGCGTATCAGGGCTGCTCGGTGCCACAAAGCAGTGGGGGAACAGCTACAGCTAGGCTCATGTCCTGGTGAGTAAAGCAGGCAGGGGGAGCTCTGATCTTCCATGATAAAAAAAAAAAACCAAAATCAAACACCAAAATATACATGTATTTAGAATATATTGTGTTATTATGACTGAGGCACTGGTAGGGTTCCAGACGGCTTTAAAACTGTAAATATATCAACAAAACGTGTTCAGCTGACACCTATATATACACATATAGTGGCATCTCATTCTAACCATGGAAAAACACACAATTTGGGTGGGTTTTTTTACAGTAAGATAATCTGGGATTTTTAAACAGAGAAACCAGGATCCCCAGTGATAACTTGCTCTGAACCAAGCAAAACAGGAATTTGAACCTAGGCCTTTCACACCCCACCGGAGAATGCCCTAATCAACTGTTGGTCCATTGGCTACTCCGAGTGTCTCCCTAGCTTCCACTCCAGAAATTCAACCCAGGAGTTGAGTAATCTTCCTGACAAGAGTTTCTTTTGTGCTCTAAAATTCCAAGAAAATTTTCATTTGGGGGAATGGGGATGTGTCAGTGTTTTCCTCCAAGAATATTTAAGTTTTTCCCTTGGAGGAAGGGAGGGGTCTTCAAGAATCTCAGCCCGGGAGTTAAGTTGATCAATAAGGCTGAATTATATTCTTTTTCAAGACTACAGAGGAGCTACACAGAGCAGCAAACTTCATATTACCTAGGTCTTATTTCACTTTCTGAAGTCAGACATACATTTAAAACCGTGTAACGGTCAAGTGTCTTTAAACCTGTTGATATCCAGTTAAATGAACCTCAAAGAACAAAAGATTGCCTGAACTAATTGCTCCACAGCTCTCCCTAGAGAAATTAATTCCAATGAGTCTGGAAAAATTCCATGCCCCACAAGAGCATACAGAAACTAGAACTGACAAGAGCCAGTCCCAGCATGGATTGATTTAAATCAATTAATTTAAGTCACCAAGTGGAAAGCTTCAATTTACATAATAGTTTTAATCAATTTTTTTTGTAGTTAAAAGTATCTTTTTAAAGAAAGGTGAATTCTCATTGGTTGATATAATTATTAAAGGTTGTAGACTTTACAATTAAATAGAGCCTTTACACTAGATTACATATATCTTTTTACTACCCAAGAGGGGACATTATAAACATTTAACTGATTATATGGCTTAATGTTTTCAGAGTCTTATAAATTTCATATTTACTATGTTAGAAAAGGGTGAATAATACATTGCTTAATAATTCATCTTCTGCTCATAACGTGTGTCAAGAAGATGCATTAAAATAAAGAGTATAAACCCAAATTGGCTCAGTGGATGATCCTGGTGAGTTATAGCAGGGGTGGCCAACCTGAAACGTGCGCCAAAAGTGACATTGGCAGCCTCTGTATGAGGCACGTCACAGATCAGGCGCAGAAACAAATTGGGCAAGAAGCAGAAAGTGGAGCAGCTGACTGGGTAAGGAGCACAGGGCAGGGAGCAGCAGATTGGGCAGGGGGAGTCAGAGTGACAATCCTGGAGGGCCTAAGGCTTAATTTGTGGCACATCAGCTGAAAAGCTTGGCCCCTGCTGAGTTATAGATGGCAACTCCCAAGCCCAACATCTGTTATAACTCTGCCAGCCTCTGAACCCAGGACATCAGGAGGCGCTACTTCACGGTCAGGGCAGCTAGGGTCTGGAACCAGCTTCCATGTGAGGTGGTGCAGGCTCCCACCCTGGGGGTTTTTAAGAGGAGGTTGGATGACCACCTTACTGGGGTCATTTGACCCCAGTGCTCTTCCTGCCATGGCAGGGGGTCAGACTAGATGATCTGCTCAGGTCCCTTCCGACCCTAGAAACTATGAAACTATGAACCCCCATAGGATCAAACCCTTAATATGACCTATTGTGCCACGTTTATAAATCTTGACCTCAAGTATCATCCCCAATTCTTTACATAGAAAAGCACACATTTTGCAACTCAATGTTTTTTAAGCAGAGGGTTATAGATTCAGTATACCAATTTAATTTTAAGGAGGTTAGAGAGACAGTTTGGGCCTTAACACGTTTTGTATTAAATTCAGATTTTTAAAAAGAAAGATGTGTTGTAATTTAAATGCCCCCCCACACACACACATTTACCAACCCAGGGCAAGCCATTCTAATCCTGACATGTCTTTAATTATAATTTTATCCCAGGCTACCAATATGTAGATCACACCCAGTATAAACTGTGCATCAGAAGTGCATGCTCTGTCATGGCAAGCCCTAAATCAGTCTCTTTGGGACACGGAATATAGGACACAGTTCAATTTACAACCTACCAGCTAAGCAAGCAATCACACTCAAAAACTCGTTTTTTAAATGAGACACGCCGCTTCTTAAAGAGCTGTTAGACTAACTGTATGAAGTCTCCATACACAGAACTTAGAAACGCCTATGCTAGCCTAACGTTTTTTTGGCTGAATATACCAAAATTTGACTACAGTTTGCTCTGAATATTACCCACTTGCTCCAAGCTAAAGTAATATTTTTAATTCAAGGAAAATTGCGAAACAACAATATCCCACATGCAGAGAATACATTTTTGTCATTAATTTTCAGCACTTTAGTTGGCTTTGACCTATGCTGGTAATTCATATAACATATGGATGCATAGCTCCAAATACAACATGTATCTGTGATTAGTAGTCAGGGTAGGCTTACATATTGAGGCAGAAGAGAACACAAGGTTTTTATAGCAGCTGTAACATTAGAAATACATACTGATAATGTGGGCCTTTATTCTTCAAACAGAGCCTTTTTTGCATGAAACATACCAATGACAGGTACATCACGGCAGCTTTAAAAAGATGTTCACCAATAGGGCTTATGAGCCTGTACATTTCATAAGATGACACAAACATTGTCAATCATTAGGCAGACCTTATCTTTGATTCTTATTCATTCTGCTCCAACATATGCCAAGATATCTGCACAAACACAGGATCAACACAATATCACATTAACTGCTGAGGAAGACAAGTTGGCAGAGGGTGCCAGTTTTTGTGTCTGATCTCACTTTTTGCTTCTTCTTAAATGGCCTCTTGAGAAATTAATCCTAACAAGTTAGTAGCAACGCACTGTAGGAGAAAAGCTCATTAGAAAAGAGACGGAGCCCATCAAAAGGCATTTTAGCAACACTAAGTTTTTAAGTCTTTTTGGTGTCTTGGCTTGACTTCTCTAGTTATTTTCTAACCATCTTCATTTCTCACACATTTTCATGTGAGAGATGCAATGCTCTATTAAATGATTGCATACAAGCATTAGATACAAGTGCAGCATCAACAGCATTTTCAGAATCCACAACACTTTTTGAAATAAAGACAGTCTAAATAAAGCTCGTTTTTCCTTGAAAGCAGTACCTATTAGAGGTGTACCAATATATTGGTCCAATATTGGATGGGCACCAATATAAAGAAAATTGTTGGTATCAAAAATCAGCCTGATATAGCCGATAATTTGGCCGATAAATTATGTACAGTGCAGCACGTGGGCAGTGAGAAACACAGCCTGGCAGCTTGAACAGCAGTATTCAGCTGGTAAGTCTGGTGTGGTGGAAAGGGAGGGGTGAGGGAAGGCGCTTGGGGAGGGGCAGATCAAGGCCCCCGCAGGGAGGGAGGAGTGGGGCAGGGGCAAATGCTGCCCAGCCAGGGTGGCGTGGGTGTGGGATGGAGCCAC